GTCCTGAGAACTTCTTCTTTATGCCGACTGAGAAATATCAGTTGTTGCACAGAATGATGGGATTCGAAATAAATCCACAAAACTAAAAACGGACAGAGGTAAAGGCGGAAATGCTCCCCTCAGCTCGATACCACGGCATATAGCTAGTAAGTCATGTGACCAAGGAGGGCGGTCATATTTGACATTCTACAAGTACGGATCAGACAATGTCCTTCCTGCATGAAAACAATGTACTGTAACCCATGTACAAGGCTGGTAATACATGGCGATTCTGTAATAAAATAGGCTATCCAAATCCGAGTAGAGTGGAGTTCAGACAGACAGACAGACTCCGATATGAAATCGTATTCAATTGTAGTGTCATAACAATAGGAGATTCACATTTATTTTACTCAATTTCTGGTTTTAAAAAGGCAGGACCAATTTTGGTCAGCATATATTCAATGCACACTCACCGCTTAATAAAAGCAATACTTGTAATTACAAGCACAGACCCAAAAAACATTTTAAAGCAGCCTACTTCAGTATGAAACTATATTATCTGAGAAAATACTTTACACCAGCATCAGACATACAGTGAATATGTTTGTGAGGTGAACTACTAAACTGATTCATGATGTGATACTTTAGTGTGGTATTATCGTACTGTATGATATGTCAGCCTTGAAACAGCATGATTTAAGTTCCATTGCTGGCTCATATCTTTATTTATGTAAGAACAGGAAACTCACAAAATATTTTGAATGTCAGAATCTGAACCGTTTATTGCCAGGTACGTTACACATACAAGGAATTTGACTTGGTGAATGGTGCATAACAATATACAATAAACACAGTGCAATAATCGAGACGTAATTTAGAAATGGAAAAATATTAAAACAAGCAAACAGATACAGTCAAACAGTACTTTAAAACAAGTATATTATAAAAGTGGCAAGTCTATTTAAATATAGAAACATAAAGGATGTGCATCACACGTCCCACCTAAAAATAAAGCGTGAATAAGCTTTCTTCATTAGCATCAAACATTTCTATAGGGTTGAATTTGGTGATCTGTGAACCAAAAACCACATTCCTGTAGTCATGAGGCCCAGCTGATCTGAGTCACATGCTAAGAGAGAGCGAAAGCGCTAGAGAGAGAGAGAGAGAGAGAGAGAGAGAGAGAGAAGAGAGAGAGAGAGAGAAGAGAGAGAGAGAGAGAGAAGAAGAAACTCTGCTGAGAAACATTTGACGGTGAAGGTAACATACACAACAGTCTGTATGCGCAGCCAGGAATAAAGTTGTGTGTGGACCCAGAAGAGAATACAATCATCCAAGCTTTGTTGACATGATGGACTTTCATCTAAAATGCAGGTAAAATGTGTTTATTAATGTGAGATATGGACTTTTGGTTTCATTTATGTTGGTTTCAGGACTTTAAAGTCTTAGACGTGTGTTGGATAGCCAAAGAAAAAACACAGATATGTGACATGGGTTTCCCCTTTTCTGTTCTTGTACGTCCAATGAGAGCTTTTAATTACATAGAAATTCAACATTTTGGAGATTAACTAATGTAAACATGGCATCCCTGATCAACATGCAAATATCTGTTCAACTAAAAAAAACAACATTGTTCTTCTGCAGGAATTGCCCCCTAAATATATACAAATACAAAGTAATTAGGTTCAGCATTACACACATGGGCGTGAAAACAAGACAAGATGCAATTTTAAGATAAGAGATTGTGAGTTGAGTTTTTACTGATAAGCTCAAGACATCTGCGCTGTTACTGATGAAGTACTGCTGTCTGTGTTTGAATGCAGCCTTCTGCTTGCATGCCACAACAATAATATTTGGTGTTTTTCTCCTCTTGAGCAGGTGCAGTGTAAGCAGCAAATGATACATTGTCCTCAGTTAATGTGACTTTATTTACATGCAAGGTAGTTAAAATGAGTAGTAAAGGCCTGTAGAGGAGGGCTGTGTAAAGAGAGGGCTGAGAAAAAGGTCTAAGGAGACAGCGTAATATCACAACTGCAGCATTGAGTTTTCACACTTCAGTGCTAAAATGTGGCTCAGTCACAGGCATGCAGGCGAGAGCACAAGAAGGAAGCGGACCCAGAGAGAACTGGGTTTGACTGTAAGTAGCATCTCTTTAGTTTTATCACAGGAAGTCTGCTGTGGAGGAGCAGAGTCACGACTAAAGATACCCTTTATCCTCTATTAACAGACTGAGCCACACTGACATGATAAAAGATGACATTCTGGACATTTTAGTCTAAAGGCAGTGCAGATACGGGCAACAGTAACAGGCTTATAAAAATGCAAATTCACTTAAATCGTCTCCTCACAACTGAATCCATCCAATAAGAGGGTAATAGCCTCTTAATGTCACTGCAGTGAAGGCCAGCAGCTATGAAAGCAGAAGTTATCTGGTTTCCTGCAGGTTACGAGACTTTCTTCCCTTCTTTAAATAAACTGTGGGCATTTTTATCAGAGCTAAAGGCTATGGTTTTCTTGAAAGGCTCTTTAGAAAGAGATAACACTCGCCTGGCATGACTGCCCTGCTTCTTCAGACGTGACATGCTTAACCTATCAATTACACAGTCACATGATCTCAAGCAGGCTCACGCCTCATCTGTGGGCTACCATTGGTCATGGTTTATATGACTGGGGCCTAAACTGGATGTTAATTAACACTTTTATTTATGTAACAGTTGGTACAGTCCCAATATTTTTTTTCATACGTGTATCCATTACTTTCAGCTCACTATTTCAACTGTTTAACCATTAGTTTAAGCAATTGCAATCATTTCAACCTTTATTATTACTTTCAGTTAACTATTTGAACTTTTTATCTGTACCTTTCATGCTAGCTAACTATTTCAACTGTTTATACTTACCTTTGACACCAGCTAACTATTTGATGTAACCCGAGGTGTTAAAACTCCCCGTCTATTGTAAATAGTTGGGGTTCCCACATACCCCCTAGCAGCTGCAGAAGTAACCCCTGGGGTGTGCCTCTGGTTGGGAATCGTTGTGTTAGGAAACCCCTTCAGATACATAAATGTACACCATAAGTCCACTTTATTGAACATGTTTGAATATGCTGCCTCACTAAGTTCCTCCAAATTGTTACACAACAACATGGCTCCTGAATAATCTAGGTGTCAACTTCCTGTATCAGTCACGATGACGTGTTTTCATGTTCTGGCACAGACAAGCTTTTACACCATAACCTCTGTTACAGTCTTTTTTTGTGACCTCATTGTCTTTAATGTCATTACCAAGTGAAACATTCTGTCACATGAAACCACTGGATCCTCTTTTTTTCCAGACTTGAAATTAAAGTTTCAGAATTGTGAAATGGTCTGTTTTAAGTAACTGCTTCCTCTTATCAGTGTTGGTGACTTTATTCTCAGATTGTCTCATGCGCTGTTTCTTTTTTAGGACGTGGTTACCTCTGAGATGATGGAGGACAAGAGCGGAGTATGTCATGTAATGGAAGAGAATCAGGTGGATGTGCAGATCACACAAGCCAAAGCTCAGCCCCAGCAGGCCGACAACCACAGACCCAACTGGTCAAATGGTAAACAGCTGCCTCTTTATTCGTTTCATTGGGTGAATTGTGCTGCAAAGAACTCTCCATTTACTCTCAGTGTCATATTTATGAGATGATCAGGAGGTCTCTTTTGGTGAGTGTTTGACTGCCACTTTTCACTGCTGCTATATTGCTTTTACTTCTTATTACATACCTCCATTTTCTTCTTTGTTATTTTCTAAAATAAAGTGTTTCAGACAAGTGCAGGTTCTTGTCACACTTCTATTTCCAGCATATATGTAATGATGATCCTATAGTGGATTACTCTTTCTCTCTCATTTGCTCTCAGGTCAGTGTGTTGTGGCGATGCCAAGCTGTTCGATGCTCAACCCGAGCTTTGATCTGTCTCTGTGCCGTGCCAAACTGGAGAACGATGGCTTTCAGGTCGGCACACACACATATACAGTATGACCTACTGTGGCACTGCAACATTCAGAAATCTTAATTGAGGTTGTTAATTTGTTTCATTTTTTTAGATTCCTGCCGGAGACATGGAGGCTCCACTGAAGACAGCTCTGGACGCTCCCTCAGTCAGGAGATACCTGGTTTTCAACTCCGCTCTCTTCCATTTTATAATGGCACCGGTATGTCGTACAGCTCTCTGTCCAATCCAGTGTAGCTCTAGAAAACCACAGGTTGCTTTGCTCCACAGCTGGAGCCTTAGGAGGCAATTAGCTTTGTTTAGCATTAAAGCTGGAAGTAAAAAAATCTGCCTACCAGCACCTCTGAAGCCTCTTAATTCACTCATTAAATCTTGTTTGATTAATCCTTACACTTTTTTTTAAGTGTTACAAAGAATGATATGCTTAAACTATTTCTAGAAGAACAGAGACAAACAAACTTATAGCTTATTTGTGATCTTTGGATAAATCCAGGCTAGCTGTTTCTGCCTGCTTTCAGTCTTTATGCTAAGCTAAGCGGCTCCCACTCTGTAGTGAATGGACCAATCATCATCAATGCCTAGTGATTGAGTGTGCATGTCCTGTCACTGAACAACACTGCTGATTCATTAGCTGATGCAATTTCCTGTTTTTTTTAAGTCTTGTCTCTATTATTTCAAATGCCTTATGTTGGTTTTTAACTTTTTGCAGTTTGGTTTCTAAGTCTGTTATTTTTTGCATTTACGTGTGAAGCCTTTATGCTGCAGTCTTGGCCAGAAAATCTCCTCACGGCAAGAAGGCAAATAGGCATATTTCCCAAACTGTTTCTTAAATGCTAGCTGCAAGTTGCTGATATTTTATGCTTTCAGTATTCAAGTTAATATTTCTTCCTCTATAGGTGCTGTATGTGGTGCTGTGGTGCGCCATGTTCTCCACCCTCCACCTCTATATCACCTTCAGTGACTACTGGGCGCTCTACCTCTCTGTCAGCCTCGTCGCCATCTTCCTCACCACTGCCATCATCTTCATCCTCCACTATAGTAACAAGGAGGTAAGGAACGAGTCTGTTACCATACAATTAGTTTACAGTATATGCTGACATTTTCATTTGAAATATCTTACATCCGAGTTTGACATCATCTGAAGAGGATTTCTTTCAATCCTTGAATAAATCAAAAAAACGTCAAATGTGGAATAAATGATTCTCAAACATCTTTGTCCGTTTCTGTGTCAGATCAACATGAACGTCGACGTTCGGTTAATCCAGGTGAATGAGAGGCTGGTGAAACACAAGCTGCTGGTGGCCGTGGCCGACTGGGTGCAGTCCTGCACTGGAAACATGCAGGTTATTCTCATGAAATCAACTGCAACTGTGAGAATATCAGGTTCCGTATGTCGGCAACACAACAATGATGCTGTTGTACTCGTCTCTCTGTGTCTCTCTGCAGCTGTACTTTGTATTTTGGGACATGTCCCGCTGTCTGAGCGCACTGACTGAAACTTTAGAGGAGCGCAGCTTTGTGGAGAATGACACCCAGGTGAGTGAGTCGAGTAGGCCTACATCTGTCCCTCTGTTTGTTCTCCTGCTGCTTTATCGATTTTTTTTCTTGTGCTCCCATGTTAGTCCTCCCTCAAAATCAATAGAAACACAAATTCTAGCTGCTGTTGAAAGGATGTACATTTCTATATCATCTGGCAAACAGAAGTTTAGCCCTTGAAGGACAGTATCACATTTCATGGCTTCCGTTTTCGCAGCGTGGAGGAAGTTTCAAACGAACAATGTGTCACTTTCCCCAGATCAAACTGAAGAAGAAAATGTCGCATCTCGTTCTTGTGACCGAGGATGCGGCTGTTGACTCCGAGGTCGAAGGGTCAGATGTGGACTCAAGTGAACAGAGGCCTCTGCTGAGACATGATGACACTGGCTGCAGGACCTCATCCAGCCGGCATGAGGGAGCCAAAGTCACCACCAACTACAACCTTATCCCTGATGCGGCGTTACCTGCTCAGGTAAAGAGATATGATGCTGCAAGATGATTTTATTCCCACACTGAGGGAATTTATATTACAGAAGTGGTATTGTTTCATTATCGATACATCAGAATTAGCAATACATTCGCTGATACACAGAAAGAAATTGGAAAGTTAATCAATTAAGGTTTTGTTTGTACAGGAGCAAGTATGTGGAGTTAATATTGAACAAATCATTTATGGCTTGCTAATTAGGCAACTAAGCAATGAGACTGGTTTAAACCTGAGCAGGTCTTTATTCAGACGTTCACTCAGGATGTGTCCTGATTGGTTAATTGGAACAAATTTGACTCCAAAAATACTCCACATAGTCCTGCTCCTCTACATGTGAGTGAATGAAGTTTCCTCCTTTGCACGTTTAATTATATAAAGTAGTTTCAGTACCACCACCAATCGTGCTTTTTCGCTCCTCATTTTTAGGGTGAAAGCAGGTTACTACAACTTCTAAGTGTTGATGTACTTCTTTGCAGGCTAAAGCCTACCAGCTTCTGATGACCTACAGTGCCGCTTATGTGAGGCTGCTGGTGTCCGAGAGGCTGTCAGGACCCTCACACTACCGCCTACAGCCTCGGAGGAATCACTGCTCCACCGCCCATCTCTGCCTCTGCCAGTACATCAAAAAGAAGATCCTTCGATAACAGAACCAGAGTCAGACCAGGAACTTTGAACTGTTGGACTACACTTTTCTTTCCTTTTTTCAAGACTTTTGCTTTGCGCGCATGCCCTTGAACAGACAAACTGACACGTAGGAGCATTTCCTCTGGAGCATTATGTTGTTTTGATCAAATCAAGGACCTGTTTGGAGCTTCACACTCTGGATTTCTGTCGGCAGGCTCCTGTGCTGCTGTCTCCATGCCAGCTCTGTGTTTGCATCGTTCATTTGGTCCAAACAATTTCTGCACTGTGCCAAACGCTGTCTGATCCACCTGTAACAATATTTGCACTCTTGTACACATAACAATCATGGCCTTAGTAACTGTTAACTGTTAGCTATTAGGATTTTACATAAAAAATGTATGATAACCTGATCAAATACAACACAATATCAAACTAGTGGTTTTATATATTTTTGGCTTGTGACCTTTTACTAAAAGTTAGTGTCTAGTCAACCAGTACTTTTACTTCTGATTCTTTAAGTACATTTGGCTAATGAAACCTCTTTCCTTTTACTTAGTAAGAGTTTGACAGTGGTGGAAGAGGTTTTCAGATGTTTTATACATTTTATTTAGTAAAAATATGTAAAAAAGTAATATTGTAAAAAATACATATTTTAAAGTATGAAAATAAAAAGCACTCTGCAGCAGAATGAGAGGGGTCTTACTGTTACATTACTGTATTTCATATTCTTGGATTTATATTTTCATGTTTCAGTTGATGGAGGTAAAGTGATTATCACCTTATTTGTTTATAGTATAAAAAAAATTATAATATATAAATTAATCTGTAACAATGCATCGTATTTCATGAACGGATTACGTTTTGTGTGTAGAACAACATTTCCCACTGATATGTAGTGAAGTAGAGGTATGAAGTAAATTAGAATCGCTCAAGTAAAGTACCTCAAAATTGCACTTGAGTAAATAGCTATATTCCACCACTGGACTTCGAATGCAGGACTTGTGAAATATTATTGTATCGGTACTTTTAATTAAGTAATATGTCTGTCACCACTGCTCGGAGGATTGACAAAACACGTGTAGACAAAAACAATAGAAGCCTGAAGGGATAAAAAGAGACTTCCCTTGATGCAGCTGTGTAATGATGCTGAAAGCGGGTTAACATGAATCATTGGCTTTAGTTTCCTGGATATAATACCTTAAATGTCAGCCACAGACGTATACCCAGAGTGTTATTGTTTTTGTGTTCTCACACCTTTGCTTTTATGTGTGTAGGTGGATTAGATATCTCTACGCATTTGTATGTGCAGGTTGCAGGGTTTCTCACATATTACCAGCAATTACCCATCAGTCCTGGTGCTGTGGCTGAGATGACAGCCCAGCGAGAGAGCTGCAGGATGACACAAACACACACAGCGAGACAGCAAGCGTGGTTGACCCAGGCCCGGGGGGAAGCTGGGATTGTGTGATGGAGGAGAGAGGCTTGCAGCATGAGGCCAAGTTAAACGATCTCAGAGACGCTGGCTGTCCTCGGGAGGCTAAATGGCCATCTGCGATACTGCACACACAGGCTGGCTTAGCTCCCACCTTTAGTTCCTCCCTCAAACCTCTTTTCCATTGGCCAGATTGTTTGGGTCCATACTTCACCTTTTCACAGATATGATTTTAAGCAACTATAATGTATAACAGCGTGAAAACAATGTGAAAGGGAATGCTTGTAGTTAAAAAGTAGTGGAGTATGTATCATCTGAATCTGTAGCTCCCCTGAGCTTTACAGAGCTTTATAGTGAGTTTTAGCACATTGTTTAGCTTCATTTTTTGGCCTATTTCTTTTCACTACAAAGCTCCAAAAACTCACTGTACACGACCAGCTCAGCAGCAAACAGCAGACAGACACAGTTAGCAACTAGTTGATGAAAAGATAAGAGAATTTAGCAGCTAAAGAGCCAGATATTTCACTCAGGACTCAGGAAAAGAGAATGACTATTGGACTTCAGGTGGATACAAACACAACTCCAAATGAATAATAATGCTGCTCCATAACTGCTCAGCTTAGTAGGTGATGAAATGTCAATATTGTGTTCACAACAGGAGCAAAATACAGGAGAAGAAAGAGAAAAGAGGAAGGAATATGACAAAACAGCTGTTATTACGGTCCAATTTGAAATGTCCAATTAAGAGTGCAGTTGTTGTAGCACCCTGAAATTTAGTTTTTTTTACAGTAGAGCTGCTTAAAGACCAAACTTAAGCAAGCTAACATGCTCACAATGACAATGATAACATATTGATGTTAAGCAGGTATGTTAAGCAGGTATGTTTACCATGCTCACTATCATAGTGTAGTGTGTTAGCATTGTGTGTCAGCCAAAGTGTGAAGTTAAATTGAAACTTTGACCTGATGATGGTGCTAGAGGTAATGTCAAACGATCACCAAAGTTATTAATCATTCATCCTGATTGGGACTTGAATATCTGTACCAAATTTCATGGCAATCCATCCAATAGTTGTTTAGATATTTATCTCTAAACCACTAGAATAGAAAGCCAGGTGGTCGCTATTTATTAGGATTTATCTTCTGGGGACCATGAATGTCTGTACAAAATGTAAAGACAATCCAACCAATAGTTGACAGGTTTGTCTACCACATTGGGTGCCTGGATGGGAAGGCAAAATAATACTTACGTGGTACAGATTATGCAAAAAAAGGAAAAGGAGCAGCTGTAAAACACAATGTGATTGAACAGAAGACAGTGAGAGGTACTGTAGTTCCAGTTCTAACAGAGGAAAGAAAAAGAGAGACTGAGAGGAAGAAAACCGGGGCAATGGCCTATAAATAGCACCTTAGTGATGAGGGGAGAGAGGAAAGGCCACAAAGACACAGAGAGGAGAAAAACAGACCGTAAGAATGAGACACCGCCTTTACCAATGTATCGTTCACAACCCCAAAAATTTTTTTTTTTTATTCTTACTCAAACAACGGAAGTCAGAAACAACCAACGTGTGTGCAACACAGCCATGAACATCATTATAATAATAAACCTCAAGAGAACCGCACGTAGACAGGTCATTTTTGGCTCTTTGAAACAAGCAACCCATCGCATTTACAAGCTCAAAAACAAAACAAAAAAAATAAGAAATTGAAGAACACAACTTCCAGCTGAGTAAGAACACAGCCATGTCGCTGAGCACAGAAGAGTCCCATCAGAAAGCAAACAGGGAGATGAAGCCTAGCGCTGTATAAACTAACCTTAGATATGCTAGGAGTGACTCTATTCATTAGACACACACTCACCACCAGAGCCCTCTGTACAATAATAATACCATACAATATTGTGCTTCATTTACTCTTTTAACACTGAAATATCACTGAGTCAATCATATAAGGACAGGGTCTGCATTTGTCAAACGGGTTTAAGTGTAAACATCCTACATTTTTACTCCTATTCAATAACTTCAATCAACAGTTTGACATTTTGGGAAGGATGCTTCTTTCTTCTTTCTCCATACCAGTACAATGTATATGAAGCAACAGCCAGAAGCTAGTTAGCTTAGCTTAGCAACAGGGGGAAACAGCTAGCCTGGCTTTCTCCAAAGGTAATACTATACTAGCACCTCGAAAGCTCACTGATTAACATGTTATATCTCTCATTTTCTTAATACGTACAAAGACTGAAGTGTAAAAACAAGGTGACAGAGCCAGGCAAGCTGTATCCTTCTGTTTACAGTGTAAATGCTAAGCTAAGTTAGGCTAACTGTCTCCTGGCTGTAGTTTCATATTTGGCGCGCAAACATGAGAGTGGCATCAATCTTCTCATCTAACTCGCCGCAAGAAAGCGAATAAGCATATTTCCCAGGAAATAGAACTAATGCAATTTTATCACGTTTCTTCATATTTCAAATGCTCTTAAATTTAAACCAGCTAAATTTATTTGTGATCACACACCTTCTAAGAAACACGTTTTGGATTGATTGTTCCAACTATTATTGGTCATAATGAAAAATATGTTATCTGAATCAGTAGTGATAATTCAGTATTTGATAAATAACATATGTAAGCGGGAAAACTGATCACTGAGTATAATAAAATGAAGGATTGCTTTAAACATGTGTCTTTAAAAATAAATACTTTTTTATTACGAAGTTGGCTTTTAGGAGCATTATTTTTAGAAGTTCGATAAATACGTGCCCAGATGTACTTATTATTATACTAGTGATAATCAAATGCAATGCAGTTGCCAATAATAACAACAATAATAATATATAAACAACAGAATAAACTGCAGTTATACCGTCTCTCTTTGTGTTCATTATTAACAAACATAATTCTTTAATATCTCTGTATAATTATTTTAAAAATAGCATCATCAACCAACAGAGGAGGGGGCAGATGGGAAATATATGAATAGGTCCAATAACTCATGTGAACAGGAGAAAGAGAAGAGGAGAGATTTCAGTAAGCGGAAAGTGCTACAATACAGTATAGGCATTAATATTTTATCTCGCTCCTATTGGAAACATTCATTTTCAGTTCCTCCCATAAACCCCATATTATAGTTCAAACAGTAACGTTGACTTATAGCTCCGTTGGCTCTTATAAACAACAGCACACCTGCTGCTACATTAAGGAGACCATACTCATATGAAATTAACCCTGACTCATTGTGTTACAACAGTGAAACAACGTCATAGGAGCTCACAGTTGCACATCGAACCTCGATATTTAAGACAAATGGAAACAAACTGAGGATGACATGCAGGGCTATGCTGCCTCATAAGTCTAACGTTGCACTAAAGTTTCACACACAGTGTCTGGGAGATTAAATAGCTAAGAGATGTGCAACAGAAAATAGGCCAATACACTAAAATACCTGCGAAAACAATATTTGCGAACCTAAGATTCAAATACTATATAATAATCATCTAAATTGTCTCCTTTTCTTTTATTGACATCAACTTGTTTGAGAAAACTGTAGCACACACTTGTAGACATTTTAGGAGATATTCGCACCAACAGATGGGAGACAAGCTATTATTGCACTAGATGCCCCCCGTTAGCTTAAATTTATATTTATCATGCACTAAAAGAACTATCAATGTAAGCAATGTAAGCTGCGTCGTCTCGCCTAGTTACTAGAAAGTGCATCATCATCAGATATCAAATTTAAGCCAATTTCAAAAGTGTCAGATAGCTGCAACAAACAATATATTGTAAATTATAGCAGACGCATGAGTAGATATTGAATGAATTCATAAATAAACAGATTTTAAATAAATCAACGAACATATAATTCATAAATTATGTATCATCTCATCCAGCTAAAATGTCCATAGCATACGAACAACCAATCTCAAATAAATACTCTGTTTGGTTACATTAGACACTCTGTCAGCCTCCATTTGGTGTGTTAAATGTGTATTGATCCCCCCCCTCTAACACTTTCAATCAGTTTGACAGTCTCTGTCAGCAATAATACTACTCTGTAAATCAACTTTGTTTCAACATGGCACTTTTTTTTGTTTTTGAAGAAAACAGGTAGACTGTACTTTTTTATTTTACTTGTAACACTAAAATGTGCATTTAAATATCCTAAAAACAACTGCGATGGCCCATTTAGTAGATTTAGTTGTTGGAATATTTAACACGGTGACCTATGAATTAATCAGCGTCAAATGAATTGTTAATACAAGGAGCTTTGCTTCCCTCGTGCAGCTCATATCTGAGTGTAAATATTAAGCGGTCGCTGTGCTAACAGCAACACTGGGCGTCGTTTGACAGCCGATTGTATTTGGCATTTGATCACCAGCTGTGATTGGTTGTTTTTGGTCGTCGTTTTGTGTGTTTGATGGCAGCGGGTTAGGTCAGAGCTGTGTGTGTGTGTGTGTGTGTAGCCGTACACCGTAGGGCCAGCAATGCAGTAGCAGTTTGTGTGTGTTCTCAGTGCTCCTACTTCCTCCAAACGATCAAGAGTAGTTTGCTAGCTAATATATGCCATGATTTCCCATCTGTCTGACGCTGTGCGGAGTTACGGCTCCCAGTCGTCGTCGTGGTGCTGCGAGGCGATGATGACTACCACGGTAAGGATGGTGCAAAGCACGATGGAGGCGATGCCAACAGCCAGGCTGATGAAGGAGAAGTTGCGTGCCTCGCGGGAGGCTATCTCCGCCGTCACCATGTCCCCTCTGGCTATCGCCGTGCGCACCTAAGTGATGCAGGAGGGAAGGGGATGGGTGAGTGGGAGAGTGGAGATATTAGAAAATACGTTATGTAACAAGAAGATGCACAAGTGGGAGCAGGAGAGAGTCTGAAACACCATGCACGGATCGATTTCACTGCAGCACAGCCTAAATGTGCAGGAAGAGGCCACTCCACGCTACATTAACACACCATAACAACATACACAGCTCAGACCAGTGGGTCCATGCCTTGTCAGCTCAACTTAACTCAAAGCCAGCTGAGCAGGCCCAGAGGAAAAAATCCATTCTATCCCGTTGCACCGACAATGGTGCAGTTACGTAATGCGGTCTGCTGTGTGCATGTTGGTCAGCGCAGTCTGCCATTACAGAGGCAAACAACAGGCATCATGGAGGTACGAGAGCCACCACGCTGAGCCTTCACATTTCTCACTTCACTCTCAGCTTTAGGTGTAATGGTGGTGCACTGACCCAAGATATATTGTCTTGAAATGTGTAATGTTAATTGTTGGGGTTGGCTGTCTCCTCCTGCCGTTTCCTGATTCTGCATAATTCAAAAGTATTAAAAACATAGGGCGTCAGCATCCGTAATAGACCTCGGAGTCGTACCTATTTCTTCACTGTTAGGGAGGGGCTGAACTAAACTTTCAAATCCAAGCAGACACCACAAGCTAAATTTTGACACAAGATAAACATTTTGTTTGAAAAATCACACGACTCACGTCATGATGTGTACAATTACAAAAACACAAAGTACAGCTAAGGCTGATGGGAACGTCTTTCGTCTTGTGCATATTTGGACATTGGTATTGGGACAAAATTACATTTTGAAGCCACTATATGAAAACTTAAAGAATCTCCAATGTTATTAGAAATTCACCCTGAGAGGGACGTGATTGCGTGACCCAAATTTGATGGCGATTGCTCCTGAAATTGCCGAAACATTTAACTGAAAAATACAAAAGTCAACTTCATGGTGGCGCTAGAGGAAAGGTCGGGGGATCACAAAAGTCAGTAGGATTCATAGTCTGGGCACAACGAAAGTTTCGTGGCAATGCCTCAAATTGTTGATGAGATATGTGATTCTGGGTCAAAGTGATGGACTGAATGGCATTGCCTGGAGCCAAGTCGCTGGCATGGCTGAAAAACACATCCCCCATTTGTGAGGTAATCCCCCCAAAAAATCAATATTAAAGTGACGAAAATACGTGTGATTTATTAGACTGTTCTACATACTATATGTATTTTTTTTACCATAGAGCCATCCTAAAAGGCAAGTACATTTCTGAAAATAAAATGAAGGGTAAAATGACTCGAAGACGCATTTACATTAGTCTCACTGGTAAAGGCGACATTATGTTAATAAAACTCAAAGATCAAAAGACACGATGAAGTGGCATTAACCTGCACTGCTTTGATGATTGCAATGATGCCTGTTGGCCAGAAGCAGCAGACGGTGGTGAGCACGGCGATGGGCAGGTAGTCGTGTGGCGGTCGACGGTCCATTAGGGTGATGCTGGGTGGCATTTGCATGGGATGAATCTGGCCCGGCGGGATCCCTGGGTGGCCTCCCCCGGTCGGCATGTAGGGTTGTCCCTGAACAAAGAGAGAGAGGAGAAGACAGTGAGTAAGTACTAGTGCTTTTTTTTAAAACAGTAAAGCAGCTTACAAAGCACTTTCCACTCGAAAAGACACAGGAACAAGGTGACACAGTCAAAGAGGAGGACAGCCGCATGAGCACCGTCCCTGTTGGATACATTAAAGAGTCGTGCACATCTCAGTTTTATCAGCAGCATGGCCGGAAACGTCTGAAACTCTATTATTAATTTGTAGGAACCAGCCTGCAAGATGGTACAGTGCAGATTTTGCACTGTGAAGAAACAAAAGCTACAAGGGTATCTATTAATGATCTTGAGCACTGGTTCACAACCGGTTTTTCAACCAAAGCAGAGCCCACTCGCATCACCTCAGGTTGCATGTTTCTATGAAATGGGAGCAGTTCAACCAAAGACATGACATTCAATTCTCAAGTCATTTTTTCATTGTTCTTTTGGGAATTTGATGCCTCTAATAGAAAGCCAACAGCAGAGAGTGATAGGACATGAGGGGAGAGAGATAGATGACATGCAACAAAGGATGTGAACTTGGGATTTTGCGGCTTGTGGTCGCCGCCATAATCCTGATCCCGCCATGGCAAGGTTCATATTACAGTAGGGATCGGGAGGGTGTGGCTCCCCCTAATTGGAACAACTGTTGTGTGGTACCTGCACCATGAGCTAGTGTAGTTAATTTGATTCATCATTATCTACAGACTGCAGACTGTTCTCTGCACCAAGGCACCGCATATGGTTTCCTTTTAATCCTTTTTAGAGTCCAGAATGTAAAAATCTCCAGTATTGCACAAATAAAAAGCATACATTTAAAAACTATTTGGTGTTTCTTTCCTATGTAGTTAACGAACCCACAGCCCCCTCGATGTATCAGGTGATCTCCAGTCACTCTGCTAGTGAAAAGTTAGCCTTAACTGCATACACAATGAAACAATGCAGTAAGCCCATCAAAAAGCCCGGTGCTCCCTCAGACACACATGTTCTAATGCAATGGATTTGTACTTTTTTATAAAAGCCCATCTAAAGACAAGTAACACAAATTAGCTTAGCCTATGTGCTTTGCACTGACACTGTGTGTGGAATTAGTGTATTCTGTGAATATTCTACTGTATGCTTATGCATTTGTCTCTTCCTAATAATAATCCTCACAAAATAAGTAAATAAAAGTCACATCAAGCAAGTTAGCTGTTACAGTCACTGCTGCAAAAATATTAGAAAACTATGAACACGTAAGAGTAAGCGTTAAAGATGGAAAACATAACAACTATTATCCGTGATATGAGGAGGAATGAAATGTAAAGTATATATTCAACTTTTCATGGAAGGTGGGAACATTACGGGTCACAAACATATTACTTGCACTTGTCCATCTTGGAAGCTTGAGCATGATTCTAAAAGCATCATTACAAGCCACCTGAATCTTTCTCATAATATAATATAATATATATAATATAATGAACAGAGTGGTGTAATTCTGCAGCAGGCTGATGTCAGGCCTGTGAAATCTTGAAAAGCACCTTAAACATCTCTGACTCACCGATGCCATGGGGTAGACAGGTACATAAGCTGTGCAGGGCTGAAGCTGAAGAGGGTAGCCCGGGTGGAGGTATCCTACAGGGGCGTGAGACATGGTGCCTCCGGGGCCCTGGGTCTGGACCGTGTAGCCCTGCGGGGCCCCCTGAGGACCCAGCGGGCCGCAGTGGAACTGGGTTTCTTGGAGATATCCGTCTGAGCCCGGAGGAGGGGGCGGAGGAGGGTAGTTGGGCTGGCTGCCCGGTGCTGGCTGCATGTTAGGGTGTTGGGGCATGTTTGGGTCTTGCGGGCCGGAGAGGTATGGAGGAGGCTGCATGGTCTGACGGCCAGAGTCATCGAGACCTGGGAGATGAAGAAGAAGAAGAAGAAGAAGAAGAAGAAGAAGAAGAAGCAGAGGGAGGGAAGATAAGAAAAAAGCAGGTAGGAGAGAAATCACAAATAGAAACCGCAGAGGATGAACAATAAGAGAAACAGAACTAGTGAGTTATCTAACTCAAGCACTGTTACACGTCGGTCCGCATGTTGAATGTAATATGTCTTATCTCACTGTTGAGGAGAGGGAGAAACAATTACACAGACCACAGCTCCTCAGCAAGACTTCAAACAGCATCAAAAAAGACAGAAATCCTGTGTAGTCTGTGTGCTAATGATGACAGTGATTGACATTTTCACCTCCAGAGAAGAAAAGCCTTTTTTTCCCCCCCTCCGCCTCCTTTCAAAAACTATGTTTGCAGTGAGAGATGTGGCATTTCTGAGATGGAAAACTTAATCTGATGGTTTGTCTGTCTGTCTGAAGCATCCTCCTGCTTTTGAACACCCCATGCTCACGAGTCTGCTCCCTTTGTGTTTGTTTAACATTGAAAATGACTGATGGGGCGTTGTGTTTTCGCAGCAGGGATGCGGCCGAGGGTACGGTAATCCACTTTGACGGGGACATGAGGGAGGGAGGAGGAGGAGAAGATGGATGCAGACAGAGGTGAGGATGGAGGAGCGGGGGTTTCGATGGGGCGAAGGAAGGAGAGCAGGAGGCAGTCGGAGAGCAGAGCAGCTGAGTGATGACGGATGACGACTTGTGCTCGGGGACCGGCTTTACATAACAGTCCCCGACTCTGTCACAAGCAGGAAGTGGACCAGAAACAGACAAGCGGGGAAAGAAGCGAGCACGAGGGAAGGAACACCTTTAAAAGGGTACGACGTGACGAGCAGCTTGGCAAACACGAGAAAACAAAACGCATGTTGGTGTTTCTCCATTTAAGGGCTACTGAGTCCATCAAGATAGGACTAAAACAGAAGGAAGAAGTGGTGGACTTTCAGTTTTAAAATATGTGACATGAGTTAGTAAAATGTCACACACATTGGCTTTAAACAGCACTTGTGATACACACCCAGCAGGTGATGCAGCAGGTATTTCCAAGAAAAAAAACAAAAACATGCAGCCATGGTCCTTGAGCATGCAGCCATGAGCACACAAAATATTATGCAGTTTGGCGCAGCAGTGTGCAAGATTAGCCGTGGACAGACACAGAGATACACAGATATACTTTTCTCACAGGAGATATGATGACTTGCAGTAGCAGGAACAGCACACAATGTTTCTAAGAACACGAATGGCTGTTGAGCCAGCATGCGCAATACTGAGCACATTGGGACCTAAAAGTAATAAAGCACTTCAATGTTATTAGGACTACACCTGTTCCAGATGATTTTATTCATGCAGCCCAAATTTGCCTCAGAGGCCCCTTTGTGTAAAAAGTCTCAGCATTAGAGACATTTTGTTGATGGTAAATATATAATATTTAAGACATCCGTGGTGACAGAATGATAAGTACTCGAGTCTGTATTTTGCTCTTGAGGACAGTAAGAATTACCACTGAAGGTTTCCATCTGTTATTGCAGGTGTAACCCCAGCTTAGATGGAAGCAGCAGAGGGAACCATGACAACTGAACAATAATTATTTAAAATATACAATACTGAGCGTTGCTGAATTTTAAATGGAGCAAAATCATTCCTCCTCAGACATCTGGCAAGGTATCATATCCCTACAGTATTTAAAATGTAAAACAGTGTTCTGCATCCTCATTAATAACATTATACTGTAGCCCAGCTGTTGTTCGTTTAATAGCATCGATAACGGATTGCACACATTTGATTAACGCGGCAGGTGACAGCAGTCAGGTGTTCAGCCCAAACTGCAGTCTCCTGTAGTCTGCCCCTTACCGTAGCCTACCGATGGCAACTTTATGCGTCTCATTGTGACCTTTATTATTGTACTCTTTACTGTAAAGCCGCTGTTTGAGCTCCATCATCAGCTGGCGCTTGACAATGGACGAGAAAAAAAAATAGAATGAGAAGATAAAATTGCCTTTTTTTTAGTGCACCACCACACGTTTAGGATTATTATTAATCAGGGCAGTTAAACACGCGCAAGCGGAGGTGTGCACGCGCAGAGGACACCCACACGGATGTCCACGGTGAGGAGAGATGTGGCCGACGTGGGCCTTTCTCTAATGATGATAACGAGACACAGGGGGATGGAAAAATAACTAGAACCACCTATAATTCATCTGTAAGGTCGCCTGCAATGTAAATATCATTAAAAAGTCATGTTTCTTAAAGCACAACATAAACAAAACAACCTACAAATACAATCCCTTAAAGTCTAGATAAAGATGTCACTTTAAAATTAGGACCAGGGATTCAAATAAGAGGCCCTGTGGTGCTTTTGCCTCCCCAGGCTGCACCCACACAGCGGTGCAGCATCCTACAGAAACAGCGCTGTGCAGATAAATAACAGATATATTGACAACAGGGGGAGCTGGAAAAAAAAAAGATCTCATCACCCAACACATCCGCCCATCAAACAAAGCGATGTCCATTTAAAAAAAATAAATAAAAGACCAAATTCTTACATCTCAATGGTGTTAAGTAGCTCAATTAGGCTTCCAATTAGGCTTGAAAATACGCCATATGTAGCACAATTTAAACACCTCACCGTGTTTTTCCGACGACATGCCTTCCGAGCTTCTGTCCTCCCTCCTGTGATGTATTTTTACTCCAAGCTGATGCTGAGAAAAGAAAAAAAAATCCCTCCTTTCGTGCGCGACGATGCAGACTTTTAGTCCAAACAAACCATCCTCAAGATGTCTTCATCTTTAAAAATAAAAATAAAAATAAAAACACACACGGGTTTTTATTATAATAAGAATAACTTCAAGTGTTTCTCGTCCAGCAGTCAGTATTCCTGCATGTCCTCGTTCTCTGTGCGGCTCGTCGTCTAACAAGGTTTCTCCGATAACGCGTCGCCGTACGTTGAATTAATCAGACACAAAGCTCTCGGTGTCTTAAAGTGACAGCCCGGACTGGGGGAACCGCACGCGCACTGTGCTGGAGCATCCCATCACGGATCAACAAAGCACAGCAGATGTCTTTCCTCCCGTGACATTTCACCACCTCAGTGTTTCTGTCTCACGCGCATTATCCCCAGATGTCAGGTTTTTTTTTTTTTTTCCCCCTTGAGGTGTTTACGGGATGTCAAAAATAAAAATAAAAAGCTGGGAGAATAGACTGGTAATGATGTAGGCAGCCAAACATTTTCAAAATCTGTAATTTTAATTTCTAGAAATACCAGAGACAACCAACATGTTTTTGGAATACAGTTTGTTTTTTTATTACTGTACAATAAATTACAATCCAGGTCTTTTCACGTTCATTCCCACATTTTGTATTTTGGTCTGTTGGTTAAAAACATTCCCTTCTACACTGGTCTGGGATTTGCATGTAAACATTGACATGTTTTGTGGGCACATACAGCACTGGTTTAACATATACACCGCCCCCATGTATCTCCATCTCTCTCACACCGTTCACACCAAGAAGCACTTCACTCTCATTTGCCCTCTCCATCTCTCAGTGGGTGTAGAGGGAGGCGGTGAAGACGATGTCCCTGCGGATGGCCAGGGACGCCTTCTCCATCTTGCTCCCCAGGACGGAGTCTCCCACGATGCGTGCGGCCTGTCGCACCTCCTTCAGCACCTCGTCCAGGCGCTGGATGCAGCGGACCACCGTGCCCTCCTGGACGTCCGTCAGCTGGGCGATCTCTGCGAACGGCTGTGATGAGGAGAGATGGTTTATGATGCAACACAAGCAGGAAAGGAGTTGAGGAGGTAACGTTTAGTAGCATACATCCAGAGGGAATTCTAAAATTCTGTCTGAATGTGTCTTTATATTGCGTAAAAAGTATTTTACACAATAAAACCATTTAAGTTTATAATAAAACAATATTAAGACAGACAAAAATAGCCTAAACTCAAGCTTTGAGATCTCACACAGAATGCTAATAAACAAGCAACTTAAAAATATCAACTCGAGAAAACAATCAGCAGATTATTTGATGATGAAAACAATCGTTAGTTGGAGCTTTAATCTCAATTCATTATCTGATTAATGACCTCTGATCACGTGCCTTTGCATTAACACTTGTTGTAATATTCTGCATGCATTGTTATGAGGCCTAAAAATGAAGATACGGCATGCCTCAGGTCAAAGGTCATCTGTAGCTTTATGCCAGCTCGCCTGAGATAGCAGGAAGAGGCGGAGTTAAAGGACCTTTAGGGTTTAGTTGAGGAACTCACGGGATTTGTATTAAAGAGGCGGGCTCACAATTGATGCAGCAGCAGCTGAGATGTCCTGAATTCTATAATTCTCATAATGCTTGATAGCATCACTTGTTAGACCTTCCCTGTCTGGTAAAAACCTAAGTCTTTCAAACTCCTGCCTCCAGTTTGTAATGCAGCCTTTGGAGAGCTCCTTTGAGAGCCACAGAACTGATCTAGGTGTGTGAAAATCGACCGAGTGCCCCTTTTGTCATCCAGATACACATTGCACGTTAACGCCAGGTGCAACAACACACAGTAAAACCTCACCATGCCTCTGGCCCAGCAGTACACCACCTCTGTCAGGCCGAACTTGAACTGGCCGACAAACTCCTCAGCTGTCTGTGGTATCCCACATTCCCTCTGCAGCTCTCCGATACGCTTGGCCGTGGACAGCACCCGATCGATGCCCTGAAAGAAAAATACAAAGAGAGACAGAGAGAGAGAGAGAGAGAGAGAAACATGGGGAAACACTAAGTCAAGCCTAAAAGAGATTTCAGTAAGCAGCCCTTAAATGCATCACTCTCTCACCTCTTGGTGATGTTCCAAGAAATCTGTTTTACAAACCGTACCGTGCCGCGTCCGCTCTCATATCTACATGTCTACGGAGCTCGGGCCATCACTAATTCAGGCCCTCATAAAGCACTTTCATGTATCGGGGGCCGTCCACGGCACACACTGACACAGCAGAGGCATATTCCACGAGAGACAGATGAGTGAATTAATAAGTGAGAGAGTCACCTGGATGAGTCAGGTGAAGTGCCCTTATTGTCCTTTCTGCAGGGAGTGTGTGTGTGTATGAGTCACTCACTGAGAAGGCAAGTCTATACAGTATGTCAGTACACACACACGTCACGACTTTAATATCCGGGCTTTTCACGGGATGCAAACGAGAATGAGCCACGTCCTCCTTACCTCCTTCAGTGTGCTGGTGATGTGCGGCTCCACCTGCGTCTTCTGCGTGAATACCAGACAGGACAGCAGGGCGGCGCTCTCCTCGGGCGCCAGCGGGCTCAGGACGTTCTCGAACAGCAGCTCGGTCAGCAGCAGCTCGTGGCAGCTGATCTGACAGGCCACGCGGCCCTTCAGCTGCACCGCCCCGCCGCTGTCGACGTACTGGAGGGCCTGCAGCACCTGAGGCAGACCGGCGGGGAGACAAACCTCTTGAGTGCGCTCGTTCAGGATTAATCGAGATGAAATTGGAGCTGCACAAAACATTAAAAGGTTTGTAGGCCAGACTGAATCAAGTCCCATCTGCCACATCCATTTGCTCAATTAATTCACAAAAAAATATATCACAAAAATACGGTCAAGTCACAATAGCTTTAAAGATAAGATAAGATTAACCTTTAATAATGGAAACCTCGTCAGGCATTACCCCTACATACTATAATGGGGAATATGGTTAGCAATATACCTGCTAAACATCAGTATGCTAGCATAGCCGCTTTAATAAATTTAGACTCTTATATATATGTATATCGCAAAGAAATATCTTACTGTTTTTCTAAAATCTCCTGCAACTAGCACGGATGCGATTAGCTAATAATAGGCAGAAAATTAATCAATAATGTACAATAATTTGAAAAATCAATTGTTAATTTAAGTAATTCATCAATCAAAAATGACTAATATTAACTTGTTCAAGTTTTTTTTTTTCTTACTCAAACCAAGGAGGTAAATTACTTCCAGATAAATCAGTTGATTAAACACCTCATCTGGAGTCCCAACACTAGGGTAAAGTAATTAATGTAGGACTTATGTATTAGGGGTAAGCTAAAAGCCTAAATGCAGATGTAAATGCTTTAAAATATAACTGAGATAATGAATAACTATTTCAGACATGTGACTCGAGTTAGATTTTCAATTTACAAAATAAAAACCCTACTATCCAGGACTAGAAAGCGACCTTATTTTGAAAGATTAAAAACACCCCGACAGAAACGGGTCAGGACAGCGAGTCGAACATCGGATCCAAACCTTGATCCTCTGGTGGTATTCAGGCAGCAGAGACAGAGACTGGTCTGACACCAGGAACAGCAGCCTGTCCAGCTCCTCCTGCACTTTCATCCTCTCCTCGACCCGAGCAAACTGACACACACACACACACACACACACACACACACACACACACACACACA